AGTTAATGAAATAATAGTTCAATAAAATTTTGAATGCGAGTCAACAAACGAGATGACATGGCCTTTCACCCGTGACCTGTCTCGAAAGGGTTAATAAGGATATTTTTGAAATTGAAATTGTTTAATGCTTCAAGATTTTTACAGAGTAAAATAGATACAAATCTGGTTTAATTTTACTACTTTTTTACTGCCCTAAACCAAAATAAAGGAGCACATTCAAATATTAAAATGATATTTAGTTTTGGAATTAAAAGCCTTTTTTGAACTCAACAGATATATGATGAAACATTCTTTAATGAACACTTTGTACACTCAAAAAATCATGTTACTTGTTATCTTAATTCTTCAAGAATATGTTAAATTCTTTTCCTCTCCTTTTCTATAACATACACAGGTTAAATGTTAGTACAAGTTCCAATATAAACTATGTATAAGTAATCTGAATTTTCATATGGTATTTTCTTTCACCAAATATTGAATTTTATATTTTTCTCATTAATATTGCCTATATTATTTATTACAGTGAAACTAAACAGTTGTAACAAGCATGTAACAGAAGTAAAACATCTACAAATAAATTGATTTTTTTTTGTTCTCCTGAAGAAGAATAGTCAACTATTCAAAAGCGCTCAAGTTTTGGGTCTTATTTTAAGTCTATTACAAATATATTGTTTAGTTTCAATGGAACAAATTTTAGATAAAGACAGTTTATAAAACCTGCTATCATTTTGTCATTTTTATCAAATAATGAGATAAGAATCAGAACAGTACAAAATAGAATACTAATACATCATATGCACTAGGATACAAGAACACAAATGCATCAGATACAACAAAAACTCTTAGTCAGAAACAAATGAAACCTGCTTTGAGATCAGTTGTTGTTCTTCACATACTCTGAGATTCCACATATATTTATTAAATTGCACACACTCACAAAAGTTAAGATACATTTGTAACTAATTAATAACTAATGAATAAACCTGAAATTCTCAAATTTTCAAAGGGGTTATATAAGTTAGTTATATATACAGGCCAGTTAGTCTTACTTTTGTTGTAAAGATTGGTGAAAGAAGCTTTACAAAATCAAATAAAATATGATGTGATAAAAGAGAGCCAAATAATGTAAATAATATCTTACTCATCTGTTAATCTTTTTTGATGACGTTTTATGTTATCTTGATGATAAAAAGTGTGTGGAATTGGTGTACTTAGATTTTCAAAAAGCTTTTGATAAATTTGATAAATTACTTGAAAAATTGCTATTAACTACTTATAAGCTAAAGTAACTAACTCCCTCGTTATTTTATATATTTTTTTTTATAAGTTATTTTCCTTAATCGATAGTTTAGTTTCTAAAATATTTTTGTGTTTATTAAAAAATACAGTAAGATATTTCTTTAAATGCCTGTCTTTATAGCCATTATATTTCAGTTTATTTTTAATAATCATATTATTCTTTTACGAATTTACCATTTTTATATGGAATTCCAAAATTGCATATAAATCCTGTGAAATTCAGATTTATTACTAATTCTTTAAATACAGTTATTAAATCTGTCTCCATAGTACTTAACAATATTCTAGATGTCTTGTTTGGAAAAATAAAAACAGTATTCAAATAACCAGAATAATTATTTTTGGATTATTAATAACAACATTCCAGTTTTGGAATGTTTAAATAATTTAAATTCTTCAAAAACTGACAGTTCTATTTTTACATATAACTTTACTACATTGTATACTAAAATAGACCTAAAAGATTTAATCAGGGTTTTCAAAAATTTGTTTGATAACTTTATAAATAATGAAATAACTATACCCAAATTAAAATTTACTAGAATTCAATGTAAAAATATACTCCATTTCTGTATTTATAACAGTTATATTGTTTTTAACGATTAAGTATATAAGCAAACGGTGAGTATTCCAATGGGAACGAACTTGTTTTCAAATATGGCCAACCTGTATCTGTTCTTTTATGAAAACCAATTTATGAAACAGACTTTAAATCATAACTTATACATTTACACTTTCTGTTACATAGATGATTTAATA